CAAATTAGGTGTCAATGGGGTGCCTGCGCAGGCAGTACTCTCTCTAATTAGTCTCTTGAGCCTAGTTGGTGGCGGGTATGAGATGATCTAATCAATTGGTCTGTGTCTGATGGTTCCTGAAACAATCCTACCAGGCAGACTCTCTCCCACAGGTCACCCACCTGCACAGCGGGACTGCTCATTTTCATTTTTCATCTCCTCCATCACATGATGCTGACAGTTGGTTTTAAGAAAATTGAATCCAAAAAATATCTAGTTCATAGGGCACATGGGTCATAACAAAGTTGCATTATGGGTACCAGCTATCCAATTAATTAATATTTATAGCTGAGAAGCTCTATGTAGATATTTCTGAATAAGGATTTTATCAATAAAATCCAATTTCTTGTTTAAAACATTCATTTCTAGAGAAAGAACACTGTAAAAGCAGAAAGCAAGATAAAAAATGGCATCCATTAATCTAATGATTTATATACCTATGAGTTGATATGCACATAGTTGAGCTTATAATTTATATTCACTGTTGATTTGTATTGTGTGTACAGTCTATTTGAATAATCTATTAAATGTAAGGGAAGGATTTACATTGCTATTATATTTTGCTTCCCCGTGAACGTCACATACCCTCTCTCCTCCCACCTACATCTCTACCCATCACATGTAAGATTATGTTTCAATTTTAAAGAATTTTTCCAGCAGTAAACTCACCCACCTTATATGTAGTCCTTGAAAACCGAAACTGATACTGATGTTGCCCAAGGAGGGAGAAAGGACAGTGCATGCCTCTGGTGACCAGTGTCAGTCAGGGCCCTTGGCACAATTTGGGCTGGAGAGTCAGCTCCCAGAGATGGGAAGGAATCTAGCTCTTGTTGGCACCTCTCTTCTTTTTTCTTTAATTATTGGATCTTTCAGTAAATGTCTGACCTCAGACCTAACTAAACGGACTTACCCGTAATCACTGTGTTCATTATTTTTTATCTAATTACTATTATTGTATATTATCCTTTATTACCCAATTCTGCTTATGCCCTGTGTTAAGTACATGCGATTCTTCTAGCGATTACACTTAAAGAATGAGAACAGAGGCAAGGACAAACACCACCAATGCTTGGAAAAAAAGATCTCATATCAACCCAACAGGACAGTAACATGCCATGGACTGCGGTGACAACAAAGGTTATTGTTACCTGAAAATCACATATTCTGAAAAGCAAAGCATTCTTTTCAGATAGAATATCTTGATTTTTTAAAAAGTTGCCCCACAGGAAGGTGTTAATCCAGCCCACCTTTCTCGTCCGCCTGTCCGTTGTGGGTGGCCTGCTCTGACCCCGGCAGTGAGCCCCTCCGGCAGGAGCACAGGCACAGCGTTCGCCCTCAGTCAACGTGCCACCAGGAGACTCCGCATCTGAGAACCGCTTGCACTCCCAGGTTTTCAGATCCTACCTTTTCCCTTTCTATCCACTCAACAAGTGTGTACCAAGTGCCTGAGCTGGGTCTGGGCTGTGCTCTAAGGGCACGATGGTCAACAAAACCAAGCTTAATCAAGAACACAATGATGCAACCTGCCCCCTTACTTGATTCCTCGTGGGCAGTGTCCTCACACCTGAAGAGGGACTAAATGGAGTCACTAGTTCAGGAGGTCAGCTTGAAGACCAGGTCTGCATTCTGGTGATTAAAATGGTGGAGTGGAGGAGAGCCAGGCAAAAACTATGTCATTTGGATGTGGCTGTAGGACCTCCATGCTTAGGCAAAGCAGGTGTTGGGACAAACGCACACTCCTGTTTGGCCAAGGTGGGAAGGTATTCTGGAAGATCTTCAACCTCAGCTTCTGTCTTAAGCGACATGAACAGACAGGGCATTTCTGTCATCTGCTTAATAAAAATATCAAGGTTGGCGGTGGGGTTGGGGACTGGCTGAAGATGCCTGTAGACAGGTGTGGTTAAGTGTCACAGGGACAAGTGCTGTCTCTCACCTTGATGTTCTGGACCTCAGAAAAAGTGTCATATGCCTAAATCAGAATGCATGATTACATGGGAGCAACAGGCAAAGCAAAAGGTAGCTTTTCTTCATTTCCCTGGAGGAGCAAGGTGTGGGATGGGTGCTAAGGCAATAGTTTCCATGTAATTATTTCTGCTAGGGCAGTGACTTTTTAAGAAGAAGTTTGATAAAGGCATTACCTTCATAGCCTGGCAGGGGTGAGAGGCAGCCAAGTGAGCCGCAGAGAAGTATTCCACAAGTAGCAGGTATTTGAGGTAAAAACTGAGGAGTTTAAACTGAGTGATGGCAAAGGGCATATGTGTGGTATCCATCTACCCCCAGGCATCTCCATCCAGCCCCACACCTCTCCCAGAAACTCAAGGAAAGGACTTTTGTTTACATTTGGCTCAGTCACTGAGGACAGAGAACTCTTAAGAATGGAATGTTACCCCTTCCTCACACTACACACCAAAATGAACTCAAGATGAACTAAAGATCTACATCTAAGTACTAAACTCTTAGAAGAAAACATAGGAGTAAATCTTTATAAATATAAATTTGGCAGGGGATTTTCAAATATGACACCAAAACCACAAGCAATAAAATAAAAAATGGGTAAATTGGACTTCATCCAAATTAAAATTTTTTTGCGCATCAAAGAACACGATCAACATAGTGAAATGGGCAATCCACAGAAAGGCAGTAAATATTTCCAAATCAAGATATAATACATAGCCCCGGCCACTATGGCTCAGTTGGTTGGAGTGCTGCTCATAACCAAAAGGTTGTGGGTTTGATTCCCAGTCAGGAAACATACCTAGATTGCAGGTTCGAGTCCGTACTGGCCCGTGTGAGTGCATACAGGAGGCAACCAGTCAATTGTTCTCTGTTGCTCACATCAATGTTTCTCTTTCTTCCTCTCTCCTTTCCTCTCTCTCTAAAAGAAATGGGGAAAAACTGCCCTCAGGTGAGGATTAAAAAAAAGATACAAATATGTAAAGAACTCCTACAACTCAGCAACAAGAAGATAAACAACCTGATTTAAAAATGAGCAAGGGGCTAGAATAGATATTTCTCCAAAAATAGACAAGTGGCCAAGAAGCATGTGAAAAGGTGCTCAACATCACTAGTAATTGGGGAAATGCAAATCAAAACTACAGTGGGATGGTAGTTCACACCCACTAGGATGTCTGTCTATAATCAAAACCAAGCAGAAAATAGAATAACAAAAGTTGGCAAGGATGTGGAGAAATTGGAATATTTGCATAGTGCTAATAGGAATATAAAATGGTGCAGCCACTGTGGAAAACAGGTTGCCAGTTTCTCAAAAAGTTAAATACAGAATTGCCATATGACCCAACAGTTTCACTCCTAAGAATTATTTACCCAAACGAATTGAAAACGGGTATTCAAATAAATACTTGTACATGAATATTCATCTCACCACTATTCCCAATAGCCAGAATTTGAAAACAACCCAGATGTGCACCAGCTCATACATAGATCAATTATATGTGGTCTATCCATAAAATGGAGTATTATTTATCATAAAAAAGAATGAAGTACCGATACATGCTACAACATAGATAAATTTTAAAAACATGTTAGGTGGAAGAACCAGGCACAATAGGCTACATATTGTATAATTCCATTTATATGGAATAACCAGAATAGGTAAATACATAGAACAAAAGCAGATTAGTGGTTCTCAGGAGCTGGGGTCAAGGGAGAAAAGGTGTGACTGTTTAAAGGATAGGGGGTCTCTTTGGGGGATGACAGAATGTTTTGGAACAAGATAGAGGTGATGGTTGCACAACATTGTAAATATATGCTTTAAAATGGTTAATTTTGTTATATGAATTTCAGCACAATTTAAGAAAAGGATGAAAGGTTCAGCTTCCAAAAAATCATCAGAGTAAGTAGGAATAATGAGTGGAGGGTAGAGCAGGGGCCGCTGTCAGCTGTGAGCCTGGAGCTTTTTGCTCTCTTGTCAAGGGAGTGCCAGGCAGGGGGTAGTCCTCGGCACCACAGCCCACGTGGGCAGCAGGGATAACCGCACTGTGACTTCACGGAAGGCCAAGGCTTCTTCTCTGCCCGGCAGGATGGCAGTGTGCCATTGCAGAAGGGGACAGGCAGGCTTGATCCAGTCTTGTGACCTCAAGCTTCGAAATGCAGATCATGAGTTGATTCTGGGCTTCAGTGGACTGATAGATCGCATCCCTGGGTTATGTGATGTGAACCTAGGAGTGCGTTTTGCTTTTGTTTTTTTACCTTTCCCGGCAAGACATTTTTTTATTCCCATCCTAGAGACTCAGTGAATATGCTTAAGGACCAAAAAGAAAATTGGACAGGAGCAGAGCAAGCAATCCTTTTCTCTTCTCAAACCATTCACGTGGAAGTAGTTACTGAGTTTAAGCAGGCATCACTGAAAACACAGTCATTGCAGGAAGTTGGCAAGAGGCTGGCAGTTCAGGTCCTGCTGGCCAATTTTCTTTCTACTGAAACTAGGTCTGATGATAGACAATAGAGGAATTATAGACAGCTGGATTTTTTAAAAAAGCATGTATGTGATCCATTTTTCTGTTTCTTGTTCATAAAAATGAACACAATAATATGTCCCTTTAGTGGTCTGTTATGATGCTATACGCACTTAATTAAGACCAGTATTACCACTGATGATTTGGGGAAGGAAATTTGCTGAGTCCTCTATGTTAATCCAAGAGGAGGTTAGATCATTTCAAGTCATGGATTTAAATTCTTTGAAGGAAAGTAAATGCCGTCAGAACATTTGTTTATTGTATTATAAGAACTGGTTTGGTGAAGGAGACATCTTTGCCTCAGACACACATGCTTGGGATTGCTGTGGAGAAAATGGATGGGCTCTTTTTGGCCAGACCAATCTTGAAGTCTCATGTAATTTAGGAAAAATGAATGATGTAAGATTTCTTTCTTTCTTTCTTTCTTTTTTCTTTCTTTTTTTTTTTTTTTTCCTGTATAATAATTTGCTCTTTTCCTCCTTCCAGGATTAAGTTGTCATCATTCTGGGAAGAAAAAAAGAAAAACATTAATGAAGTGGCCAATAATAGGAAAGGAATCATGGATCAGTTTCCTTTCTCTCCCTGTGGTGGATTTCACTTACAAGGAAATTGAAGCTGGCAAGACCCTGTTTTCTCTGCAATTTATTTAAAACCTTGCACGCATTTGGATACCTTGTGATTTCCAAGAACTATGCGAAGATTAAGCTTTGCTTACTGACACATGGCATGTATTTTTCAGTCTTTTGTGTATGATTTTGTTTGATTTCCCTCTGCAGCACAGCGTCTCCGTGAAGGTTTTATGCTTTTACCAACCATGTCTTAAATACATTAAGACAACACATTTGGAGTTCACACTTCTTCAGTAATATCTGTACTTGAAAGCCACATGGTGGCATAAAACAATGTGTGCTTTCCTTGAGAACAGTGCACATTTCGCAACCACTAGGAAGGAAATGTTCAGCTAAAAAGCAAACCCATGTTCTCTGAGTGACTTGACAACTTGGTCGCGGGCCATGGGGCCCCGCTTGTCGCCTACCTTTGGAGAACATTTGCGAGTGTGTTTTTTTTCTTCCTCGGATACACCACACATTTATATAGGGTATCAGATTCTGCTTAGCATTTTCGAGCCACGTAGCATGACTTGTTTTCCAAGTAGGTTGGAAGTGAAGAAACAACTCTCAAGCATTAAGAACAAAGACAGGGATAAATTACTTACTTTTCAACCTCTGGAGATCAAGGTAACTTTTTACATGTTTTCTGGGTCTTGTCAACATCTTATTTTTTCCATCCACTCTTTTACACTTTGCGTTTTCTTAGTGGAGAACAGAATGTTTAAAAGTTGGGTGCACAAGAATTGGATCCGTTGGATAAGCTCGGAAAGCCGTCTTTGCCAGTTAACATTTAAAAAGCAAACTACAAAGTGATCCAGAGTTAAAAATTGGCTCATTTACACCAAAGCACCTTTCAATTACATTTTTTTAAACATTCCAAGCTGACTGGAAGCCATCATTGGGTACGCTAACTTTAAACCATCTCCTGGAAAGACTGTTTGAATGCAGGTTTTAGAAGCAATACAGGAGTCTTGCATTAAAGATGGGAAGGAGAAAAAGAAGGGCCTGGCTTCCCTTGTTTAAAGAGTTGAGAGACCTTGGAGGAGGAAGGCAAGTATGCGACATGGAGGGAAAAATGGGCTGGGCATTTGCTGAGCTTCAATCCGGAGGGAAGGCTGTCTGATGCAGCCTGTCTCCCCAGGGGACGGGCCTCGCTGCAGAACCCCAGACAATACCGAGGCCACGGGGGTAGTGAGGAAATTTATCTAAAGCATGAAACCCAGCTCCTCAGGACACAAATTCCTACGGAAATACTACATGTACATTGTTTTACATGTTCCTATTAGTCAGAAAGAAGGCGAGACCAAGAACTTGAAACGCATCACACTTTGGGGGATCAAGTCTAGGAACTGTGAGCCAGTTTGACAAAGGCTTTCTCAGAGTCAGCCAAGGGAAGAGCTTTTCTGTAGCTGAACCCAGTAAACCTAAAGAATTGGACCCAGAATTCCTAAACATTCAAAAGGTACCTTCCCTGGAGTGGGGTGTGAGTATATAATACATTCAAGGTCCCAATCCATCCTATCCAGAAGTAGCATTCTTTGTAAACTTCTACATGTTAAGTGGTGAATTATTTACTGATGGATGTTAAAAGAGAGCAAAAGTTACCCAAAGCTAGAGTGTTTCCTGTTTGCTACCTGGAAGTGTTTCCCATTCTCCTTTCATACATTCCAACTCATTGGAAGTCTTTAGAGGTATTTTGATTTAACATGTATTTAAGTTAGGATTTTCTTACAGTAAATGTGGAGAAGAAAATGTTACACGCAATTGAAAACAGGCTTGCCTGTGATTTGTCTTGAATTATTCATTTGGGAGCGAGCATAACTTTTGTATTTTACTAAGTTTAAACCAAGAGCAACTGATGATTCAATCTTGCTATTTAATAAATATTTAGTGTTAAAAGACTTCAATTAGGAATGTTAGAGTCATTCAGAGATCTGTGCCCCAGTCATAGGCAGCTTCTCTGGGGAAATGAAACATAACAGCACTCAGTGGGGGAGGGGTCCTGTTTTATTACAGAAACAAACCACTCAGAAGATCCTCCTTAGGAACTTCCAGTTCCCCGTCCCTGCCATCAGTACTGAACATCCAAAGCTTGGCTTGTCTCTCTCCTTTCCTCTCCCACTTGCCATCACGTTCTCCCTCCCCTTCTTTTCCCACCTTCTGGAGCTGAGGACAGCCATGAAAATCGTGACAGAATGTGTTCATTAGCAGATGTATTATTCTGTTGAGAAAGCACTGGAATGTTTTGTGAGACTATTTTTATATGAAGGAGTAGTTTGAATTCAAACAGCTGGACTAGTAAGAATGCATTAGCATGAGGATTGTATCAATGCAGCATCACTGCACACACAGTATCCTGAAAGGAAATGTGGGACTTCATTTCCATGTTCTTAAAGGAATGGTATGGTTGACTTAAAAACACAAGATATGTAGGACATGAAAAAAATTGTTTGCAGTGCTCAGAAGAAACGGGGGCATAAAACAGGGGTGGCTGTCCATCCACTGATACAAGGGTGAGAAGCTATTTCTACCTCGTAAGAGCGATGAGAAAAGTTTCCAGGGGCACCTCCAGGCTCGCAGAGAAAGCGAGCCTCGGGGTGTCCTTTCCTCAGTGTGTACCTGACGGCCAGTGTAATCAATACCCTAGGTTATGCGTCTATATAAGATACTCATCTGTGAATATTACTGGTTTTGTAATCTTTGTTATATAAGAGGAAGTTTAGGCTGTACATACCGGGGTAGATTATTGCCTGCCCCCTATACATAGGAATATGCTGCATAATTGTGCATAACTTCCATCTCCCTTACTGGCTTGTAGGCAGGGGAAATCACATACGTCACTGCCTTGCAGTTTTCATATACACACACATACAAAAAGAAAAAAGGCAAAAAAAAAAAATCAACAATCTTCTATTCTCATTCCCTTCCTACAGCAGCATATTTTAGAGGCACATATAAAATCTACATTCTCTAGGTGGGAGTGGATTTTTTTTTATTTTTCTTTTATTTTTTTTTCTGTATGATACACTGAGATGTACTTTCTAATGGGGTTGGTACCTAAGAAATGTGCTAGCATCATTCAGAAAACTATTATACTTCAAAATGACACATAGCAAGGAGAATGGAATAATACATGTTGCATTTGTTACCAATTGTAATTTGTCTGTATTATGAAAGATGTAATGGTTTGTCAACTGTTGCTGTTGTTTTCTTGTAACATGATACAGAATAAAATATAGCAGAGTCTCTGTAAACTGTCTTGGTACAGCTTCTTGGTGGGTACCCAAAACACCATATACTTTGTCAAAGAAATATTGTCTTGAAAACTCTTAGACACAACCATTCTCAAAGTGGGAAATAAGAGACCAAACACACAATGCTCTTGGATGTGGGAAGGATGGAGTGAGCTGGAACATTCCAGGAGTCTTTGAAACCCTCCCTGTCCTTGATTTGCTAGACCAAATCTAGGTAAAGTGCTAGAGGCTCTTGCAAATCAGATCTTGTGAGCTGGAAGATCTTCAAGATATTCCCCCAGCTCATTGTTGATGTTCACCATGCATTCTATCAGCACCATCTGGAGCCAATCTGGTTTTGTTTAATGACAACCCTATTTATCTTTTATTACCTCTTTTTCCTTTTCTTTCTTTCTTTCTTTCTTTTTCTTTCTTTCTCTCTTTCTTTCTTCTTTCTTCTTTTTCTTTCTTTCTTTTTTTTTTTTGCACATATCCTAAGATGAGGTGTGTAGGTTACTCTCCACTGAATACAAATCAAAGCTTCAGCCCACAGACATTGTGCCAGAAGCATTTTGTCCTCCGCGCTGAGCACACCTGAGCGCCAGTTCAGTGGGGCCTGCACCTGAGTGGGCAGGGAGCTCTCACTGGGGTTGACAGTGTCGCCTTGGGAAGCTGGTGTCACTTCTGCCCATCACATCCTTCCTGTCAGATCTGTCAGCTTCATAAACCCAAACGAATCCCCATGAATTGATAAATTGCTAATAAACTTCATGTCAGATGCAGTCATCAATGTATAGCTATGGTATTTGCCAGTTTAAAAAGAATTACCCTTGGAGGTGAAAATCAAAGTTCCAGTCTCTTGTTACAAGGACCCAGAGGGTGGGCTAAGAGCGGGGGTGGAGTAGGGACATTTGTATTAGTGTCAACAATAAAGAGAGAAAAAGAAATGGACCCAGAAATCCTGGCTTTCCCCTGGGCAGACCCTAACCTACCTCAGGCGTCCCTCCCCTCGCTCCTCGCCCAGAACTTCTGTGACTTCGTCGCGTGCAAGCCCTTCACAAACTCCCGATCTCGCAAAACCCAACAAAAGCGTCCTCAGCTGATGCGTGTTCCGTTCCAGCAAAGCTCACGAGAGCCGACTCATGCATCAGGCCCCCGACTGCCCCTGCCACCTCCCCTAAAGCGGTGGCTCACCTGTGCCCAAGGCGCAGTGTTGTCACACAGGCCTGCCACCACCTGTGGATTCCGAGACGTGAAACGGTGAAGACTTCATGGTACTTAAGGTAGAGATAATAGACACACGCCTTAGTTAAATGGGAAAGAAATATGACCCTGGAAACTGATTAGAATTAAAAAAGTGTCAACAGAACTTGTTCCTCGGAGTTGTTTCACGGGAGCAAAGGGCATGCCACTGTCCCCATCGCGCCTCCCACGCCCCCCACCACCCCGCGCCAAGGTCATCCGGCAGCCTCAGTCGTGGGCTCATGTTTTAGAGCCTGGCTGTGTGCCAGGGTTGATTTATCCCAGGAGCCCTTAAAAGAAAGACAAAGGCAGAGGCCTAGTATCTACAAGAGGGCAAAGAACGAGCTTTGGAAAAAAAAATGTTTAACTCTTTAAATGCGGTAGTAGAGGGGACAACCATCCCCCCGGCCAGAGCGGCCCGCCGCCCCCTCTTTTGCAGCGCGGCCCCTCTGCCAGGCGGGAGGCTGCGGGGTGTGCTGCTGACGCAGAGCCGCAGGAGCTGGGCGCTCGGAGACTCGCCGTGGGCCCCTGAGCGAAGAGAGACCAGAGGGGAAGGTGTGAGAGCAGCCCCGGGCCGCCAGGCTGACATGTACCGTGGCCTCATAATGGATAATGGCAGGATTGTAAATCTCCGCAATGGGAACCCCACAGTGGCCCAGCAGCCTGCTGCTACCAGTGGGTGGTGGCGTTATGGACATTAGCTTTGAGGAGCTTACACAGCAGAGGGGTCTAGGATAAAGGACACAAATCAGGGGAAAAACTGACAAGATTTAAAAAATCCAAGGCCTCGTATTTACTGTCCGTCCCCCACGCTCTCGGTGTGCTATATTGTCTGCGCTGAGTCCTGCTGAGAGCCAGCCCGGCACAATAATAGCGGGGAGCAGCCTCGCAGCCCTGGAGCCAGCCTCCGCCAACGGTGCCGACTGTGCCGGTGGAGAATTGGGATTCTGATAGAGTTGTCTTTTTTCTCCTTCCCTGCAAACCGCCAATAATTACGGAGGGCACGCTCGCTCGGCAGAGATGGGGTGAGGGTTCCCTGTTGGAGTGTATTCAGAGAAGTGACCCAGCAGGGGTCCCGGCAGAGGTCTGGGCTACAACAGCCCAAGGTGTGCCGGCCTCACAGATGCAGACAATGCTGAGGACGTCGAGGGACACGTGTTTGAACCAGGGGTTCAAGGATTTGGAGAGGTTCAATTGAAACTTAGATTTATGCATCATAATACAATGTGAAGCAATCAATGACTGTTTTCCTCTCTCCTTCTCCAGCCAAACCAGGTAGCTGGGTACCTTGCATCGTCAAAGGAAGTCTGTAAGCCACTCATACCCTAGAGGAAAGCAGTCACAAGCCCTGCAACCTATGGTGCCTAATATGTGGGGAATCCATACCCTCATGCATCCTTCATTAGCCTAGTGGCTCACAACCTTGGCTCTCATTAGAATCATGATGTTTTAAAAATACCCTCACCCCAGACAGATTCATTCTAGAAATATTGAGGGTGGGGCCCTGGCTTTGGTCCATTGTGGGAGCTCAACAGGTGACTCTATTGCACAGCCTGCACGGGAACTGCTAGCCTCTTCCCTTCCTCCTGACTGTCTGCAGGGAGGTAGGCAAACCTCTTCTGGAAGAGCCGAATAGTTAGTATATTAGGCCTTCCAGGCTGGACAGTCTGTCGCAACTGCTCACTCTGCTATTGGGGTTTCAAAGCTGCCACGCACAACACACATGAATGAGCATGGCTGGGTTCCAGTCAAACAACACATGGGCACTGAAGTTTGAATTTTGTATCGTTTTCACATATCATGAAATATTTGTCTTTTGATTCTTAAGAACAATTTAAGAGTGTAAAACCTATTCTTAGCTCACAGCCTATATAAAAACATGCAGCAGACAGGAATTTGCCTGGGGCTGTAGCTTGCTTACCTTGGCATAGCATGCAGCCCTGGTAAAGGGGAGGGAGGCCCCACCATTTGCCAGGCCCAGGGAAGAATCAAATCGAGGCTCACATACCATATATCTGAATATTTAGTAATACAAATGTGACTAACAAAATGTTAAATATGTTTAATTCCCCTACCTGGAAAAATGTGTCTTCATAATGACCTACAGGACCAGGGTTTCGCTTAGAAGTCTTGGACTCCTCGGGATTCACCAAAACATGGCAGTGTGCAGAAAGTTGCCCCACTTCAATACTATGCCTTATTCTTCACTTTCCACTCCTACCTCTAGGGATGTCTCTTCAGTATGAGGAGCCACCCAGCCCCCACATCCACAGTCTGTCCGTCCCCTCAAGCAGCCTTCCTTCGCCCGTCCTTGGGGGTCAGGTACACATTCTCAGGGAGGGCAGTTTCAGAGAAGACACCATTTGCAGAGAATTCAGGGTCCTGGACATCTGGAATATGTGGAGAAGGATGGGGGACGTAGACTCCTGTTGGCCATGGCTGTGTGGATTCCTTGTTGTTTAGGGAGGCTATGCCAGTGGAGTATCAGAGCTAGGCCCTTTGAATAAGGGAACCAAAGCAGGCACCATTGCTCAGAATTATAGGGTGTGGTCCCCAGTCAGTCATATAATGGAACTTGCTGGTACCAGTTCACAAAAACTAATTGCTAAAAATTTAGGAATTTTGTGATGCAGTTCTTAAATCATTCATAACTTGAAATCGGATGAGAATACTTACACCACAGAAATCGGCAAACTCTACAAAGTAGGTCTTTACTGTTTGTTTGTTTGTTTGTTTGTTTGTTTGTTTTTTGTTTGTTTGAGAGCCAGTTTCCCAACACACCACTGCCTCCTGACCCCTTTCTTTCCAGGCTTCTCTCTCATCTCGCCACGTGCCCGTCCGCCACATGCACCACGCTAAGCTTGACACTGATGCCGGGACATGGCACACTCCCGGCCTCCTCGCGCCCTGTTCTTTTGCACATTCTGTTCCTTCTGATTGACATGCTCTTGCCATTTTTCTAGCAGACAAGTTCCTGTTAATCCTTTTAGGACCCTGTTTCAAACTATTTCTGTTATGAAACATTTTAGAACTTTCCTCAAAATGGTGTGTCCTTCTTTCACATCCCCTCATCACTTTGAAAATAGTAACACAGGTCTTTTTTTCACTCTCTATATCCTCAAATTCAAAAATGGCAACCAAGTCACCATAGATGTTTAATGGGGTTTTTTTATGAATCAATTATTAAAGGATAATACAGATTAAACACGAGTATAATAGAATTTAGTTTACCTTCCTAAAAAAGGATTCAGAAACCTGCAAACAATGTGAATATACTACATGTATACTATTGTATATGTTACAACATGCAGTTGTATGCAAGGTACTGCCTGGATCTCCGGGAGAAATAGAAACCAGAGGAGAGAGATCTCTGCTTGTCCTCAAGGAGCTCAGGGAAGCAGTGATTCCTACTCCTGGCTGAATCATCTGGGGAATTTTCTAAATATTCCTACTGAATCTCAGTCTCCCGGGTAGCAGCTTAGGTGTGTGTACATTTTTAAATCTCCTCAAGCGATTCCAATGGTCAACCATGACCATGAACCACCCTGTAGGGAAGTGTCCTGACCAGTCTGTTTGCCTTCCTCTCAAATCCCTTCTCTGCCCTCTCCACCTGAACACCTGGAGCCTCTGTTCAAGTTGCAAATCATTTGAGGGCACTCCTGCTTCAGCCTTTTCAGTGGCTCCCCCTGACCTCCAAAGTGGAGCCCAAGCTCTGTAGCATGGCATCAAGCGCCAC